CAGAGGAAAAATTAGTGTCTCTTTCTTAACTACTTAAGCCAAAGCCGTGGGCCTCATTCTTATTGGTCCAAGTTTGGGTCACATTCCGTCTCTTAACCAATCACTGCGATCACAGGCATTCGGTGCTGTGATTGGCCAGACCTGAATCAGGGGAAAAATGGGATGTTCTTCCCAGAAGAAGAGTCGACGTGTGCTGGCCACAAAAACAGATGTCTTCTAATACAGTGTTGAGCAGTTGTTCATGAGAATATTCAGGCTGGTTGCAGAGCTTGGGGTGGAGAAGTATCCCAGTAAGCCAGAACCCTTGAAAGAGGAGGCATGGCCTGATGCCACTGACTTCGTGTGTAAAACAGAACTTACAGCCTTTTGATAGCTCTTTGGATGGAAAGATTCTTTTGGGGGGACGTTATTTAACTTATATGAAAATACGGTGTTTATAAACATAACCCATTTGTAGTAGGCAGAATTCTCATATGGACTCTGAAACTCCCCCTCCCCCACTGTGTACAAGACTCCATAATCCTTTCCACCTGAGTGTGTGTGCAGGACTTATAAATACGATGAGATTTCTCTCTTTGATTACCTGGTATCACAAAGGTGGAGGGATTTTTTTAAAACACCTTTATTGTGGTATGGTTCTTGTATAGTAAACTACATGTATTTCAGATGTACAATTTGAATTTTGATAGATGTATACACCAATGAAACCAGCACCACAATCAAGATAGCTAACATTTCCATTGCTCCCCAAGAGGTGCAATTTTCGAATTCCCAATTCATCCCTTCCCATCCCTTTAAACCCTTGGTAACCGTAAGTTTGTTCTCTAGGTCTGTGAGTCTGTTTCTGTTTTGTAGGTAAGTCCATTTGTGTCTTTTTTTTTTTTAAAGATTCTACATATAAGTGATAGCATATGGCATTTTTCTTTCTCTTTGTGGCTTACTTCACTTAGAATGACCATCTCCAGGTTCATCCATGTCGCTGCTAGACTGAAAGACTCTTGAGGGCAAAGGATTTTGCACAAGTGGGCCTGATACTCAAAAAATGCTTATAAATAAATGGATGGATGATGAATGAATGAACAAATGAACCACTAAGTTTGAAAACAGAGAGGAATAGGCTCACAGTGTTTGATGGAAAATGTTCAACAAACAAATGCCTTTAAAAATGTATTTCTCCTATTCAGTTATGTCAGAAACGGAGCACAGACTCTAAAGTCACACAGACCTACATTTGAATTCTGGCTCTGTGTGACCTTGTGCAAATGATTTAGCTACCCCAAGTCTCAGTTTCCTCATCTATAAAATTGAGCAATGTTAGGGTGCCACCTTGAGGGGGCACGGCCAATGAGACAATTTCCCAAGAGGATCCATGGGCAGCAGTCATTATTTTGAGAACGAATTATAGACGAGGTCTCTCTCTCATCCTGACAAAATAAAACTTCGTTTCATCAGCACATGGAGAGGGAAGCCATTTCCCAGATAGAGGCCCACATTCACCAAGTTAAATTAGAATTAGAAAGTGTATTAACAACTTAGAAATTATTTGGAGCAGTCACATAAGGAGCGCATTGTCTCCCTGTGCAGCTGTACTGGGGAAGTAATATTGTAACTTGAAGATGGCTTGTGCTCAGGCAAGGGGACTTGGCCTTGCCTCTCGCATGTAGCAATGAACTAGCCATTAGGAAAACCTTGACAGTGCTTCGATGGTCCCTGACAAGGTTTATCTGTCTCCTAGTTTGAGTTTGTACACTTTTGCTTTGTCCCATGATATATTTGTCTTGCAGGGCACCGTCTTTTCCTTACTTGCAATGTCCTGGGAAAAGGCTCACTTCAGTCCTTAAAATAATAATACCTTCCTCATCAGTGCAGCCTGCATCAGCTGTGGGGGTCTCCCTGGCCCTCAAGATCTGGGTTAGACAGCTTAACTCCCCAGGCCCATAGCCTGTGACAACCCCAAGCCCATCCCCGATTTCAGGGGGTCCTCGGAGGGGCTGCTGTTCTTGTGGTCTCCTCTCCTCCTGTTGACTCATGATTTCCAGCACGATGTCAACCCAGATATGAATCACAGCTGCTTTACTGGTTTCCAACAGACTAAAATAAAAGAAAAATCCCATCTACACAAAATATTCATGAGCAGATTTTTCTAAAGAACTGAGGAGGCAGGGAGAAGTCTCAGGAAGGATTCATATACACACAAATGAGACAGCAGGCTGTTGAAAGCCCTGTTAAACCTTCCTGTTCTTAAGTCCCTCTGACCACCCCCTGACATGTAGGGGTTCCTCTTCACACGAGCAGCCCCAAGTCTCACTTCCCCACACCTTTTCCTCTTCCCCTCCCTTCCCGGTCCCTCCAGGCTCTTGGCTCCCCGCCCACCTCCCTCCCCAGAGCATCAGACAAGTTTCTCTCCTTGACTCAAGCACTGGAGGTTCCGCCCCTTCTCTGGTGCTGCCTCCACCCTGAAACCCAGGTCTGGGGATTTCACCTAACTAATCAAAGGCATTTTCCAAACAAACACTGTTCCTTTCTAAAATGAATTTGTTCTGTTAAGAAAATGAAAGTATTTCTCTCTATTTGATAAGTGCCTGGGAGACACACTCAGTAAATAAACTTCCATCCACTCCACTTCTTCCTCTCCTTTTGTGCAATACATCGTTGATCAACAATTTCATCACGACGAAGGTGTTTTGGCTCCTCTCACATTCTTGTGTTGGTTGAGAGGACACCTTCAAAATCCCTTGTTACCTGTATTTTCCCCAGAGCAAAAGACAGGTGCTAAATACTGGCTCCCCAACTTATCAGCTGTGTGCTTTTATACAAATTACTTAACCTCTCTGGCCTCAGTTTTTCCACTCATAAAATGAGGTAATAGACTAGTTTCTAGACTTCTTGAGAGGATTAAATTTATTCCTGTAGCATGCTTAGTACATAGTAAAGGCTCAGTAAATGTTGCTGCTCCTTCTTTCCTCAAAAAGTGATTTTATCAATATGAAAAAATGAGATAATTTAACCTTTGCTGTTTGTCTGTAGTTCAAGGCTGGCTTTATTAAAGTGGCAGGGCCAGGGCTCATACTGGCTGAAGGGCTATGCCTGCTGGTAGCCTCGGCCCAGAGGATGGCTGGACGCTAACTCAGCTGGAGGCTGCATTCAGAGATGGAGGGAGGGGTCGGGGCACGTTGAAAATATAACCCAAACCCGAGAAGCCCAAACGGGGAGAGACACTAACTGCCCCTGATCTAGTTCATTTCTGGGTCAGAGGATTCAGGTCCCAAGCCTGGAGGGTCCCAGGGCTGGCTAGCACCAGGATGACCGAGCCTCCCCCAGATGTGTCCTGGGTCTGGCATGAATCCCTCGGAGGCCCCTCAAATTCCCCTGGTTTCCCAGAGGATGGGAAGACGTGAGATACCATGGATCCTCTCAGAGAGGATAGAGGGTGTCTTCCAGTGTCTGTGGCCCCAAGAACAGACAGACCCCTTGATGATCCATCTGGTTCAGGCTGCTGCTCCCACGGTCATGTCTGATAGCCTAATACCATCTTCCCCCGCAACCCTCAAGCGCCCTGGGGCCTCTGGCCCTCCCAGGAGCAGGCTGTTGGGCGACTTTGTGGCAGCCTCTGGAAGAGCAGGGTTAAGAATGGAGTGGGTTGGGTGAAACCGGTACCTCCCAAGGTGGGCCCAGGTGAGGGGGAGGAAGGAGGCAGTGAGGACGCTTTGAGGGGGCTGCCAGGGCAGCTCCACAGGGCAGGTCTCGAAGGGAAGACTTGCAGAAGGCAGAGCTGACTGAGCCTGGACACAGGGCACTGAACAGTGACAGGGAGGGGAGAGAGAAGGTTCTAGCTCATCTGAAAATGACCTCAAGGGCACATATCTACACAAAATCATTTAGAGTTTGGTCCCTAGTCCCCCAAGTACCTTATCCACTTGGCTTTATAAACTCTCCCTGCAGACTTGAGTCTCCCTTGCGGGATGGGTTCCTGCTCACCCCTGCTGCCATGGCTGTGTTGGTGCTGAGAGAGTTTGAGTAAGTTAATTCACCATCCCTCGGGGGTGACTGTGGAAAGGTAAGATCTTTCTCCTTGGTGCGTTTCCGGCCCCTGCACCACCCCTTACCCTGGTCCTCTTCACAGAAGTGTGTACTCTGAGGAAGCAAGCCAGCCAGGGAAACAGGTCTCTACCCAGTCCAAGGCAGCGAGTGCATGAGACAGAAGAGCAACTGCAAAGAAACAGAAGGGGTCCTGGGGACTTGATTCAGGAGCAGGAGAGCCTGGTGACTGTTCTGTCCCTGCCAGAGTCTCGTTTTATCTGTAGGGACACACAGGGCTGGCAGGACCTCCTCCTCTCTCCCTTGGCTGGAGCCTCCAGGCTGGGGCCCACGCTGGCTTGCATCCCGAGCTGGCTCTGGGCCTACTGATTCAGGTGTTCAAGGCAGGACTCTTCTCTGCGAGGCCTTTGGCTTAGAGGAAGGGCTGAGCCTAGCTGCTCCTGGGGTTTTGTTTGGATTTTCTGGTGTTTTTGTTTTTGATTTTGATTGAAGTGTAGTTGATGTAGAATGTTGTTAGTTTCTGGTGTACAGCATAGTGATTCAGTTATACGTATGTATTCTTTTTCATTATAGGTTATTATAAGATACTGAATGAGGTTCCCTGTGCTCTACAGTAGGACCTTGTTGTTTATTGCTTTTCTGTTTGGTAAGAACACTTAACATGAGAACTACCTTCTTACATTTTTAAGTGTGCAATACGTTATTGTTGACTATAAATACCTACAAATACAATGTACAGCAGATCTCTGGGGCTTATTCATTTAACTTAACTAAAACTCTATGCCTGTTCACTAGTAATTCCCCATTTCTCCCTCCCTCTGCCCCCAGTCCCTGGCAACCACCATTCTACTCTTTAATTCTATGAATCTGACAATTTTAGATAGCTCCTAAGTGAAATCAAGCAGTATCTGTCCTCCTACAACTGGCTTACTTCACTTAGCATGATGTCCTCAGGGTTCATCCACGTTGTCACATAGACGTTTCCTCTGAAAAATAAAAGCAGAACTGCCCTAAGATGCAGCGATCCCCCGGTTGGGTATTTATCCCCCCACATTGAAACCAGGATCTCAGAGCGGTAGTAGCACTCCTGAGTTTTACTTCTCTCAAAGTCTGCGACCCGGCTCCCGACAGCAGGTGGGTCCCTGTTGCTTTTAAACCCGACAAATCACACGCACTCTCTCTCATCCACCCCAGGCAGATTCTTAGGTACCTCACCCCTCGCCCAAACTGCTTTCCAGGGACAGTAGAATTTTGCTTCTTGCCTGGGAGTCGCAGGCCAGGCCATGACAAGCCCTAGGGGGAAGGCGCCCAGCGACCCGCGGAAGGTCCAGGCACGCCGCCTGCCCGCGGGGAAATCGAACCCTGGTTCGGCGGCCGCGCTCCCCGGAGCAGCGTGACGCGGGGCGCCGGGCCGAGGCGAGACTCCCGCGCCTGGCTTCCCTGGGCGGCCGCCAGTTCTGCTCGGAAGGCAGGGGCGGGGCGCGGCCTTTTTCGTCCTGGGAGGAGGTGGCCGCGGCCCCGGAGGTCACTGGGCCGCCTGGCTGGCTGCTGTCACTTGTGCCCGGTGCCTTGCTCAGCTCGACTCTCCCCTTTCCCAAGCGCACCCACACTCGGAGTGAGCCCGGCCCTCCAGGGCAACTGCCAGCAAGCAAGCTGCTCCATCCCCACATCAGAGAGACCACATGGGCCCCGGGACCATCTGCCCTTGGAGGGGCCCCCTGCCTTGCCAGGTGTGGACCTGGATCGAGCCTGTGGTGGCCTCCACCCAGGTGGCTACCTCTCTCTACGACGCGGGGCTGCTCCTGGTGGTGAAGGCTTCCTTCGGAGTGGAGGCCTTCTCCAACCACAGCGCCAGCCTGTCGCCCCGGGGGGCTCAGGAGGATCAACAGCAGAAAGCCATCTCCAACTTCTACATCATCTACAACCTCGTGATGGGCCTGACACCCCTGCTCTCAGCCTATGGGCTGGGCTGGCTCAGCGACCGCTACCACCGCAAGATCTCCATCTGCGTGCCACTGCTCGGCTTCCTGCTCTGTCGCCTGGGGCTGCTGCTGAAGGTTCTGCTGGACTGGCCCGTGGAGGTGCTATACGGGGCGGCAGCGCTAAATGGACTGTGCGGCGGCTTCTCGGCCTTCTGGTCAGGGGTCATGGCCCTGGGCTCCCTCGGCTCCTCCGAGGGCCGCCGCTCCCTGCGCCTGATCCTGATTGACCTGATCCTGGGCTTGGCGGGATTCTGCGGGAGCATGGCCTCGGGGCATCTCTTCAAGCAGATGACCGGGCACTCCAGGCAGGGCCTGGTGCTGACTACCTGCAGCGTGAGCTGTGCCGCTTGCGCCCTTTTCTACAGCCTCTTGGTGCTGAAGGTCCCTGAGTCCACGGCCAAGGCTAGCAAGGCTGTGGATATGGTGTCTGGCACGACCGGCTCTTATCGCACACTGGATCCTGATCAGCCAGACAAGGAGAGTGTCGTGGAGCACCCTCCACCTCCTGGAAAAGCAAAGCCCAAAAAAACCATCATTGCCCTGCTCTTTGTGGGAGCCGTCGTGTATGACCTGGCAGTGGTGGGCACGGTGGACGTGATGCCCCTTTTTGTGCTGAGGGAGCCTCTGAGTTGGAACCAAGTGCAGGTGGGCTATGGTATGGCTGCAGGGTACACCATCTTCATCACCAGCTTCCTGGGCGTCCTGGTCTTCTCCCGCTGCTTCCGGGACACCACCATGATCATGATTGGGATGGTCTCCTTTGGGTCGGGAGCCCTCCTCTTGGCTTTTGTGAAAGAGACATACATGTTCTACATTGGTGAGTCTGGCTTTCTTGGGGAGGCAGGACGAGGACACTGCTGGCCCCCTGAGTCATGGGGCTGCCCCCAGGAATGCTGTGGTCTAGGTGTCCCAGTTCAGCATCAGAGATCATGCCTGCTACCTAGGAGACACAAGGGAGACAGGATCACATGCGCTCGAGTTTATCTGTGTTGTACTGTGTCCTGTGCCACTCATGCTGCCCACTGAAATGTGACCAGAATGGTGTCCGTAGCTCTAGGAAGTCCAGGGAGGGGGTGGTCAGTGGCGCATGGAGTCAGTAAGAGCGGTTGCAGATGGCCTTGAATGGTGGAGATGGGGTTGAGGTTCTTCTCCCCAGTTTTAAAGCGATAGAACAGTAAGTAATCCAGCTGAAAAAGTTCCTTAACTAAAATCAATTTGGGTCAAGCACAGGCTTTTTAAAAACAGATAAAAATTTTCTATAAATGCCTTTCACAACCAATGAAATACATTCCCTCAAGGAAGTAGAATGAAGTTTCTACCCGAGGACACAATCATAAGCAGAGACCTCTGCACCAGAGTGGCAATAGAACTTTCTACAGTGATAGAGATGTTCTGTATCTGTTCTGGCCAGTACAGTAGCCACTAGCCGTGGGTGGCTATGGAGCACGTGAAATGTGGCCAGTGCAGCTAAAGACCAGAATTTTTCACTGTATTTCATTTGAATTAATTTAAATAGTCCCACATGGCTGGCTAATGGCTAACATAATAGAACAACCCTAAACGGTTACGAGACTGTCCTTTGGCTGAAGTCACACACCTCAGAAAAACACCTCACAAAATGGCCAGATTACCTTCGGCCAGCTCCCAGTTAAACAGGCCATGTGCAAAATCAGAGGAGCCCCCCCCCTTCCCTCCTCATCATGTCTACCTACCCTCCTCACACACGCTTACACTCTCATTCACACACCGCATCGGGATCCTGAATGGGTCTTGAGGGAGGGAGGGGTGTGTGGCAGCTGTGCTGGTGGCACATGTTTCTGGATGCAGCTTGCCAAAACTCCTGGGACCGTCTCCCAGAGGTGACGATGAACAGCCAGGGAGAACGCTTCCCTCCCAGGAGGCAGAGGAGTTTTGAGTCAACTGAGTGACATCAGCTCCACTTCCCTAGAAACCACTTAACTCTGCCAATACAGATACCTTTCAGCTGTCACCACGTCAACTGTGCCTTGCTACCCGGCAGAGGGGTCTGCAGCATCTATGGCTCCATCAGAGAGTCCGCCTGCCTGGGGAGGGGGCGGCAGGGGTGCTAGTCTGCCAGCTGACAAACCACTTCTCGAAGGGCAGGCCACACTGGGATTGGGGGAGGGGGTTTCTGAGGGAGGTTTCTGTTCTCTTCTCATTTACCCTTTTGGCCAAGGCTGGGCTACAGTGAGGAGTGTTCTTGTGTGATTCCTTTCCAGCTCGGGCCGTCATGCTGTTCGCGCTCATCCCCATCACAACCATCCGATCAGCAATGTCCAAACTCATCAAGGACTCCTCTTACGGTGAGTGAGAGGAATCTCTGAGCTGCTCTGCCAGGGCGGTTTCAGAGCTGCCGGGCTCGAGGCACAGGGTTTGGGCTGGCGGAAGACCTAGGAGAGAGTTCCAGAAGCAGCCCCGAAGACACTAGGAACATGCTGGTGTCCATCTAGGGCAGAGGGAGTGAAAAGTGGAGGGTGGGCAAGGCTTGGAAAGTCAGATGCTGGAAAGCTGCAGTTGAATGGAGACACGACCATCCCCGGCCACGGTGGGAGGCAGCTGGAAGGAGGCCAGAGTCCTGGCGAAGTGAACCACAAAGGCTGAGTGGGAGTCTGGGAAGAGCTGGGGGTCTCCTGAGACCTCCCCAGAGACTCAGCTGTTGGGAAACACAGAGGGGGACAGCATGGTAACCCTCTCGATCCCCTCGTCCCTTCCACAGGAAAAGTGTTCGTCATCCTGCAGCTGTCCCTGGCTCTGACCGGAGTGGTGACCTCCACCATATACAACGAGCTTTATCAGCTCACCATGGAGAAGTTCGTCGGCACCTGCTTTGCTCTCTCCTCCTTCCTCTCCTTCCTGGCCATCATCCCAATTGGGTAAGACAGGAGCAGCGTCTGCTGCTTGGGCTGGGGCCTGGGGCCTGGGGCCTGGGGCTCTGGGGAAGGCCTGCTGGGGCATTTCCAGCCGGTTATCGTGAAGGATTGTTTCTTTGCAGCATCTGCACAGTGGGTCCTGAGTAGGCCCTGTCACAGAGGAAAAGTTCGCCTGTTCCCCCAAATTAATAATCTGACAATTTGGGAGTTCCCTGAAGTCATAAATAATAAATGGAGGGCCCAACTCGCTGGCTCACTTCCTGGCAGTTTTGTAATACAACTTATTTATAGGAGCCTCATTTACTTCCTTGTAATCAGAGGCTGAGATTAGAATACCCTCTTGAATCACTCAGACCTCTTGCATTTAGTCTCCATTAGGTGAGAGTCTCGCTTCCAAGCACTCTCTCCTCTGTGCCCACTGACGGCTGGGCGCCCAGCAGCCTCTGCTCAGTGCCCTGGCAGTCTCATGGCCACCGGACTGTGTGAGCATCCCTGTGGGACTTGGGCAATTCCTTTGACCTCTCTGGGGGATCTGTCTCATTTGTAAAATAAGATCGCTAAAGTCTGGGAGATGACACGCCAGAGGAGCAAAGGAAGGGCTCCAGTCCCATGAGAAGAGCATGAGCCCAGGTCACCACCAAAGTGGGCCACACAGAACAGTCTGGTCTCTGACTAGCCCTGTCTCAGGGACACACAGGAAGAGCCACACGTGCAAGCCATGTATATTATTTTAAACTTTCTAGTAGCCACACCTAAAAACAGTAAAAGGAACAAGAGAACTCACTTTAATAACATATTGGATTTGGCCCAATATGTCCAAAATACCATTTGGAATCCCTTTACAAAATCAATGAGTTGCTTTTTTTTTTTCTTGACTAAGTCTTTGAAACCTCGTATGTGTTTTACGCTGACAGCACATCTCAAGTTGAACACATTTCAGGTGTTCAGTAGCTGAGGGAACTAGTGGCTGCCATACAAGACGGCTCAGTTTTGGTCTGTTTAGGCCTTTTTATCCCTTTCCCTAAAGTGAGGTTCTCTCACACTTGTGTCAGTCCCACCAGAGGCGAAAAGAACACAATAACTATATCCACAAGAAGCTGCAGGGGGCTTGACACAGATTTGTATTTTAAAGGGACCTGCCTAGCAGCGCACAGAAGCTCTGCATATCAGTAATGGCGGTATTATGGGCAGCAGAGTAGAACAGAATTGATGGCAGACTGGAAGAACTGGGAAGTGGATGGTGGAAAGGGCTTTTTCTGAATCCTCATATCATAAAAGGTCCCTGCCTACTTAGAAGGTTGAGCCTCCTGAGACAGGAGCCATCAATCTTGAGGGCTGTTTGCTTTATTTCATGGTTGAGAGAAGTAAGATGTGAAGATCAAACAGCTGAGAGAATTTGTGCAAAACAACAGGCATGATGACTGGTGCCTTCTTGGTCCAGTTCTCATTTTCTTAAGGTGTGGGACTGAGCCAGACCTGTCCCCGAGCTGCCCAGCCCTTAGGCTTTTTCACGCGCCTTTGTTTTCATGAGTCTTGGCTGAATGGTTGGGTTTAGCTAGACCTGGCACACAATGCAAGCATCTTGGGAGTCCCAGCTCTTTGTCCGAGTAATAGATTAGGAGCTATGCCACTTGGCTATCCACTCCCATTTGATTGGCAATTGGTTGAAACGGTCTCTTGAATCTAAACAAATAAACAAAACCCAAAAAACAACAAAGGAAAACAAGTCTGACCAGGTAACGTGTGTCATAGCTGGAGATAAAAATGGACAAATGAAAGCAATGAGAATATACAATAACACAGTTTCATTGCTTCATATGTGCGCTGAGTAGACGCTCTGCCTTCGCTGAGACACTCTGGGGTACACGAGGCAGGTGTGCTGCCCTTGACCTCTCACCCCAGTGGACTCTGTGACATCACCCAGTCCTACATTCAGAGCATGGAGTTTTGATTAAGATGTGCCTGGTCTTCGTGGTCTTAGATTGCAGAAGCAGGGACAGAATCTTGACCCAGTCAAATAAGTAACTGAATGTGTATGTGAATGAAGCACTTAAGTTGTTTCTCTGTTGTAGACATTTAGCAGTAGAGGGACCCATGTACAGACAGACTCCTTTGCTCACTGTACATTGGAATCACCTGGAGAGATCTAAGAACTATCGATGTTAGGGTCCCACCCCCAGAGATTCTGACTCAGTTAATCTGGGATGCAGCCTGGGCACAGGAATTTTTTTAAAGCTCTGGAGTTTATTTGGAGGTACAACCAAGGTTAAGAACTTCTAGTATAAAGGAAATGTTTCCATTACCTTTCCCTTCCGCGAAGTCCCTAAATAAACAAAAATCCAGAAATTCTTACAGGAGGCCAAGGCTCGTACCATCCATCATTAAGTGTGATCAACAGGAAAGACCAGTGGAACTCTCTGACCGCAGAAAGAGAAGTCACATTCCAATGACATAAAAGCCCAGGAGGGGAAAGGAACAAAAAGGCCCAGGAAGACATGTCACAGCAGGGGAACAGAGGAGGCTGTGGCGGGCAGAAGGCCGGGAGGAGAGGTTCCCCAGGCCAGGGCTGCCAACAGCCTGTTTGCTGGAAGGAACTGTGGCCTCCTCTCCTTCCTGGTACCAAAGTGAGCCAATTTCATGTGGAGGACTTGCCCTCTCCTGCTGGCTCTTCTTGACATGCCGCAGGGAGATGCTGAGGAAATAACTGACTGGCTCTGCCCATCTGCAACCCACTGACCACCCAGCCCACATGGGCTCAGCTGCTGCCTCGTGCTTCGCAGAGAAAACAGACGCCACCTTAGGAGAACGGCTCATTTTCTGCAAGTAGGTCTACACGCATCCTATTCTTCCCCCAACCCCTCTTACAGCCAATGATAGCAAACACTTCAGTAGCCCTTATTATGTGCCAGGCACTTAAATAGTTCATATATTTTAACTAATTTAACCTTTTCAAACAATCCTTTGAGGTAACCACCATTTTCTCCCCATTTTACAGAAGATGAAACAGACTAAGGTTTTGTGTAACTTGCTAAAGCTTATACAGCTAATAAGTGGAAGAGACAGGACTTGAACCTGGGCGGTCTCTGTCAGCCACTACTTGACATTGCTTCTTAGAAAAGGCACTGGGCATCTGGGTGGCACCTCTCCCAACGCCTCAGAGAGCCCACTGCACCAGTTAGCTGCTCCCACTCTGGAATTCTTCCTACCAGATCTGGCATGGGACCTGCTGCCCCATCTCTCCTCCTCCTCCTCTTTCTAGCCAGGTTCTCCACTGCTGGTCTGCACCTGCTGTCTCAAGTCCTCACCTCCTGTTTGCTTTTCAACCCACTACAGACTGACTTCCCCTGCTTAGCTTCACCAGGGCTGCAGTCACCAAGATCTGACTTCTTTTTATAGCTGAATTCAGTGGACGTCAGAGGATGCAGGTATCCTTGCAATCCTCATCCCTCACGGTTTCTCAGCTGCCCCAAAACCGTTGGTCACTCTTGCCTTTGGGAGGCCCTTGTCACTGTCACTCAGCTTAACACCTCACTCTCCCAGTTTTTCTCCTGGTGGCTTCATCTCTACGAACTGCCACGTGGAAGACTTCTGTGGGGCTCTGCTCTCCATGTTCTAAGCAATCTAAAGTATTTTCAAAATTTCAAATTACCATGTAAATTTCCAAAACTGAGTTCTTGCTGCCCTCCTATGCCTGCTCCCTCCAGTCGTCCCCACCTCCTTGAATGACATCAGCACCCGCCCAGGGTGGAATTCTGAGTCACCAGTGTCCTCCCTCTTCATCTCCCCACACCTCCAATCCATCAGGCTTCGTGGATTCTACCTCCAATATATGCCTCAAATTCACCCTTTTCTTTTTATCCCTACTGCTTCCAGTCCTAGTTAAAAGCACTTGGGTGATCGAATTAGCCCCTGGGCCCTTCTCCCCGCATCCATACTTGCTTCCTCACCATCCTCACTCTGCCACGTGGTCAGCAATTTCCTTAAAGTGTGTATCAGCTCACATCATCTCCTGCTTGAAAGCTCTGCACTTGGCTTTCATTGCTCTTAGGATAAGACTTGGACATCTTACCATGGACCATGAGGTTCTGCATAATCCAGCCTCCAGTTCCAGCCACGAACCACCCTCTCTGCTCCATGCTTCAGCCCCAGGAGCCTCCCCTGATGCTCGTCCCTCCTTCCTTAGCCACACGTCTTAACACAGCTAGCTGTGGTCTTAACTTGAACACCATTTTCTCAAAAAGGATTTGAGAAAGTCTTCTCAATCTAAATTAGATCCTTCTATTATATGCTCCCCAAGCTGCCTCTACCTTTCCTTCATAGCATGACAGTTGATTTTTCAGTGGTTATCCATCTTACATGCTTGCCCACTAGACTGTAGGCTCCCTGAGGGTAGGAACCATGCCTGTTTGGTTCGCTGAAATCCTCTGTGTCCAGCAGAGAGCTTGGCATGTAAGAAGTACTCAAAAAGTGTTTAATGAAAAAAAACAACAGGAGAACCTGGGTAAAAGTATAAGGCACTCTGTACTATTTTTTATAATTTTTCTATACGTCTGATATTATCGCAAAAAAAAAGTGTTTAATGAATGAGCAATCTGTCAGAAGGGTATGACACCGACTAGCCAGCCCTGCTGACCATCCACATTCCAGAGCCTGCCTGTTAATTGACCATGAAGTCAGGTCGGTTGGCCTTCACCATATTAACAAAAAAGTTAATAGTCAATCGAAGAAATAGAAAATTTTATTCATGCTAACGGTGAGGACTATAACCCAGGAGACAGTCGTTCAGAAAGCTCTGAGGACTGTTCTGCCTGTTAGAGGTCAGGGCACAGTTTCATTTATTTTTGAGACAAAGGGCTATACATCAAAGTAACACACTGGCATAGTCCAACAAGGCGAGTAGCGGGCTGTTGGGATCCCCTTTATGGGATTCTATCTCCTAAGAGGTTACCCTGCTGGCACCACGGGGAAATTGCTTTTTTTTTTTTCAGGCATGTAGGAATTCCTGTCTTCTGAGGGGAATGTACAATACAGGTACACAATGCACACTAACGGGGAGGAGCAAGTGGCTCAAATGGGCAGAGAGAATTGTATGTTTAAAATTTTTCTTGTCCTGCCTTAATTTTATTTAAAAATAATTGTAATTGAAGTATAGTTGACTTGCAGTGTTAGTTTCTGGTGTACAACACAGTGATTCAGCTATACATGTTCTTTTTCATATTTTTCATTATAGGTGATTACAAGACATTGAATATAGTTCCCTGTGCAACAGGACCTTGTTTTTTTTAATCTATTTTATATATAAGTTTTATCTGCTAATCCTAAACTCCTAATTTATCCCTGTCCCACCCTTTCCCTCCTGGTAACCATAAGTTTGCATTCTATGTGAGCGTGTTTCTGAATTGTAAATAAGTTCACTTGTATCATATTTTAGATTCCACATATGAGTAATATCGTATATTTGTCTATTTTACTTCACTAGAATGATCTCTAGGTCCATCCATGTTGCTGCAAATGGCATTACTGCAGTGCCAACTGGTGCCTGCTGAGGCCCTGTGACCCCCCCCCCCACCTTCCTGGGCTCTCAGATGTCCGCCTGCAATCCCTTAAAAAGCAAAGTACACCCTTTCCTAACGTGTTGGCCTTAACAGAGTAAACAGCCCTGGGAAATGACCAGCCTCGCCGTAGCTCAGGCTGCCTTGCTCAGCCCATGTCTCCTCCTCCTCGGAATCATAAATTCCACTACCTGGCTGTGTCAGCCCGTGGCTCCATGTCACGGAAGTCGTAAATCTACTATCCGCCCATATATCAAAGCTGCTTACCTCACTTACCGCCAATCAGAAATCCCTTCCCCTGTCCCTTCGTGTTCACAGCCCCTTCCCCAGTGAAAGACCCTGCACGTTCACACTCGGTGGTCACGAAGGCACCTCTTGTCTGTGTGGCCCGCTGTTGCCTATGGCATCATCACTGTTAAACCTTCCTTTGTTCTTAAACTTCTCCCTTTCGGGTAAATTCCCGCATCATCAGCCCACCAAGTGTCCCCCAACAATTATTTCATTCTTTTTTATGGCTTAGTATTTCAGTGTGTGTGTGTATGTGTATAAAATCTCACAACTTCTTTATCCAGTCATCTGTCGATGGACACTTAGGTTGCTTCCATGTCTTGGTTATTATAAATTGTGCTGCTATGAACATTGGGGTGCATGCATCTTTTTCAGTTAGTTTGTCTCTTCTGGATATATGCCCAGTAATGGGGTTGCTAGATCATATGGTAACTCTATTTGTAATTTTTTAAGGAAACCTCCATATTGTTTTCCATAGTGGTTGCACCAACTTACATTCCAACCAACAGTGTACGAGGTTTGCCTTTTCTCTACAACTGCTCCAGCATTTATTTATTTATTTTTTACAGTTTTTATTGATTCATAATCATTTTACAGTGTTGTCAAATTCCAGTTCCAGCATTTATTATTATTTTTTAACATTTTTTATTGATTTATAATTTTACAATGTTGTCAAATTCCAGTGTTCAGCACAATTTTTTAGTCATACATGGACATATACACACTCATTGTCACATTTTTTTCTCTGTGAGCTACCATAACATTTTGTGTATATTCCCCTGTGCTATCCAGTATAATCTTGTTTATCTATTCTACAATTTTGAAATCCCAGTCTACCCCTATTTATTATTTATAGATTTTTTTTAATGATGGCCATTCTGATCGCTGTGAGATGATACCTTATTGTAGTTTTGATATGCATTTTTCTAATAATTAGGGATGCTGAGCATCTTTTCATATGCCTGTTGACCATCTATGTCTTAGGAGAAATGTCTGTTTAGGTCTTCTGCCCAGTTTTTAATTGGGTTGCTGTTAGTTTTTTTTTTTTTTAATTGAATTGTGTGAACTGTGTATTTTGGAAATTAGGCCCTTGTCGGTCACATCCTTTGCAAATATTTTCTCTGGGTTGTCTTTTCACTTTGTTTATGGTTTCCTTTGCTGTGCAAAAGCTTATCAGTTTGATTAGGTCCTATTTGTTTATTTTCCCTTTTATTTCTATTGCCTTGGGAGACTGACCTAAGAGAACGTTGCTAAGATTTATGCCTGTTTGGCCTGTGTTTTCTTCTAGGAGGTTTATAGTGTCTTATGTTTAAATCTTTAAGCCATTTTGAGTTTATTTTTGTGTATGGTGTGAGGGAGTGTTCTAACTTCATTGATTTACATGTGGCAGATAAATAATTTCATCACATTAACCATGTGGCTGTGCTGTAGTGGTCTCCAGCAGGGGTAAGCTGTGGAGCCAGGCCTGGAACCCAGAGTTCACGGGGTCCTAGGCTGGCTGCCTCCAAGTCTTGGCTCCCTCTTGCCAGCTCTGTAATACAGTGAGCTCTTAGTATAGGAAGTGCTCCTCCCTTAGAGCCCTGGGGCTCATGGAAGGTGGGGAACCAGTGTGTAGAAGTTTCTACAAAGCTTTCCCTTAGAAGGGTTTGGATTTATGCTCACATCCCATTCAGCAGCTCCAGGTGTTGTACATCCATCAGGAAGAACTGGGCTCCAGCTTAGAACCTGAGGTGCCTAGAGCTCAAACAAACAGATGAGACAACCAGGGGCCCCATAGGTTGGCTGAAGGACATTCCACAGGTCAGCTTTTAAGACCTATGCATCCATTTATGTACAAATATTTTAAAACAACGTATTGATTTATAGAAGAGAGAAAGGGGCTACAGAAAGGCAGAAGAGGATGGAGCGAAGTCTGCTTGGGATTATCAAAGCTTGATCTTGAAGCTACACCTGGGAACTCATCCTCAGGCAGAAGTGAGATGGAAAGAGATTACCAGAAAAGGAAAATGCAGTTGCAAAGGGTTCTAGATGTTGTGGGACTCTAACGAGACTGGAATGAGACATTCCCTCGGGGGCCCCTCCCTCCCTGCAGTACAGCATTCTGCTGCCATAATGGATAGAGCCTTTGGGTCTATGAGTGATGAAGAGGTGGCTGAGACCTCTTGGCACCCCGTCCCCTTTTCCAGCCACTCTCATATAATTCCCGCTTGTAAATTCTTACAGCATCGTGGCCGCCAAGCAAGCCTCATGGTTGCAGTACGGAGACAGCGCAGAGAGATGAAGGTGCTGATCTGCGAGAACCGAAAACCTCAGCAGTGGCTGGGCCCCTCTGGAGACAAGGGAAGGGACCAGGAACTGGTGACCAAAGTAACCCATTGCCCAAGAAACCCAAGTTCCAGCTGGAGTTGGCCTCAGGTCCCTGGTGGGTGGGGAAAAGCACTTTCCTGGTGATGGAGGAACTTTCTCAGCTTTCAGACGTCCCTAGTAGGCAGAGGTTAGGCTCTGCAGACAGTAGAGCATCAGCTTTTGAAGGGTGACGTGCAGGCTGCACACACAGCCCTTCCAGACGCAGAAGCCCCTTTTCTTCCAGGAATGGTCTCCCGGGGCTCCAGCATATGGCTAACTGGTCACCTGGGCGCTATGCTAGGAGTCCAGCGTGAGAACTCAATGGCACACATCTTCAGCAGTTGAGGGAATGTGGAAGGGCTGTTTTGTGAGAACTGCCAACAATGAACCTCAGTCAGTATCTTTAAAATATAACCTTGAAAAAAAAGTTAGCTTTCTTCCCTGAGGCCTTGTTAGCTGTGAACAGCTCAGGAGAGGTCTGGTGCACAGGCACTTGGCTTCAGGGTAGTTTTGTTACTGTTTGAGAAGCAACTATCAAAAGGCTCTCTTCAATGGGATATGAGACTGGATACTTTGTCAACAATACTTCGAAGAGGGGCATCAGGGGAGGAGGGGTGCTGACAGCCATTTTTATTTTGAGGTACTTATTTTCATAGCCTATTTTACTTACATCTATAAAAGCAGACTCACCTAATTAAAATCGACATCCAGGGCATGTGTGTGAATCGTTCTTTCCCAGGTCGGTTTCCCTCTATAATCAGAGATGGCATTCTTAGAGTGGGGTAGAACTTAAAGCTAGAAAATGCATTTAAATCTCAGAGTATTGGGGCTGAGCTTGTCTCTCAGACCTTGCAGGGAATGGTCAAAACTTTATGGCACATGGGAGAGGGTGTGGAGAAAAGGGAACCCTCCTACACTGTTAGTGGAAGTGTAATTTGGTACAGCCACTACAGAAAACAGTACGGAGATTCCTTAAACTAAAACTAGACTTACCATATGATCCAGCAATCCCACTCCTGGGCATATATCTGTAGAAAACTCGAATTCAAAAAGATACATGCACCCCAATGTTCATATAGCACTATTTACAATAGCCAAGACATGGAAGCAACCTGAATGTCCATTGACAGATGACTGGATAAAGTGGTGTGTATATATATATATGGTGTGTGTATATACACACACAGATACATACTAGAATACTACTCAGCCATAAAAAAGAATGAAATAATGCTACCTGCAGCACCAAGGATGGATCTAAAGATTATCATACTAAGTGAAGTAAGTCAAAGATAAATACGATACCACTTACATGTGGAATCTAAAATATGATACAAATGAACTTACAAAACAGACTCATAGAAAATGAACTTATGGTTCCAGGGTGGGGGGAGTGGAAGGAGGGATAAATTAGAGGTTTGGAATTTGCAGATACTAACAACTCTATATAAAATAAGGTCCTACTGTATAGCACAGGGAACTATATTCAGTATCTTATAATAACCTATAATGATAAATATAAAAGTATATATATATACACACACGTATAACTGAATCAACACGCTGTGCACCAAAATCTAACACAACATTGTAAATCAACTGTACTTCAATT